CTTCATATTAGTGACAAACTTTGGTGTTTTTTGATGGGTTACTTTCATTTTTGCTTCTACCTTTAATTAAAAATAGGTTTCCATTCTCTGCAGGTTTTAAGGTTCTTCTACGTATTAAAAAAAGTTGTTAAACAACAGAGTGGCGCACTACTGCTACTAGTGGTGAGAAAGTGTACTGCACCTTCAAAATCAATGCACCACGGCCCTCTGTGGCCCAAAGTTAAAAACTGCTGTTCTTTTGAGGCCCTCAAGGTGGCGCTGATGGCCCACAATTGGGCCGCGGCCCATGGGTTAAGAATCTCTGGTTTAGACCATGCTGTCACACTCCTGTTACAAAGGAGCTCATATTATAGTTTGTTACATCACGCCTGTTGACTGTCCACATATGACATCATGTCACCACTGTACAAACCATACATCCATGTACATTAATCAGACTGTTGCTTGCGTTGTGCCAAGCATGAATCATTGTGAGTCGATCCGGTGGGTGTGGGTGGGACGGCTTGTTTAACGTGACCTTCTGAGTGTGACTCATTGGATTGTGTTTTGACTCCCCCCCCCTCCCGCAGAGGACGTGCAGCTTCGGGGGCTTTGACCTGTCCAACCGTTCTCTCCATGTGGTCAACACGGGCTCCGAGGCCAACGTAAGTTTTTACAGCCCTGCAGAATTAAACAAGGCTTTGAGGAGCACACACTGAATTCCTCTTGTCACACTTAATCAGCGTTTTATTTTTATTTGCCCTTCGTGTATTTTGATTCTCCCTTCTSCTGACCCGTTTTCCATCTGTCCTCGTCGCTCTCCTTTATTTATTTACTCTTTTGGTGCCGTCTCCATCGTCTCGAGCTGTTCCGTTGAACCGTCCTTCTCGCCAACTTTACAGAACAAAGAGCAGGAGGCGATATACAGAGAGGTGGTCAAGTCTCCCACCACGTCGCGGATCTCGCTCGGCAAGAAAGTCAAGTCCGTGAAGGAGACGATGAGAAAACGCATGTCGAAGAAATACAGCAGCTCCCTGTCTGAGCAGGTTCGATGGACACACACACACGCACATTCAGTTTCTGCTTTATGGAAAATCAGGATAACATTTATTGCTGTCTCTTTTTATAAGAGTTGAAGCGCAGCTTTTATTTAAAATGGAGCTGGAATAACAGGGTTCTGCAGCGATCCGCCTGTAAACAGTCCAGCAAACATTCAGATAATACTTTGCAGTGCAGACCACATGTTCAGTCCACATGTGGGAGTGGGTGGGGGTGTTTGTGTTAGTTACAGAGCAAACACACACCCTTAAAACATGCTCTCCCCTTCTCTTGGATCTAGTAAGTTTGGGCGTGTGCTTCACATTGAGCTCACGTTATGATGTACCGTCCCTCGGGCTCACGCTTATTGTAGGAAGCAGATACAGAGGCCGTCTCAGCCACACCGGCCTAGTTTGTTAAGACAAGCAGTGGCTTTACCAGCTGTCGAACATTTATATTGAATGCAACAGTGGTTTGCTAAACAAAAAGTTGTTGAAAGTTTGACTTAAAGGAAAAGTTTGGGTTTTTTTTTTAAATAGAGTTCTTTGGAAAGGTTAAGAACAATTATTATTGTACTTGAATTTGGAGAAACTGTTAAAGTCTGTTGAATTTTTGGGACTGGGGTTGTTTAGAGCCACCACTTTGGATTAGCAATTAATTTATCAGTTTGGTCAGAATTGAACTTTATTCTTCCAAACTGCCCTCTACAACGTATAAGATGTCAATTGTTCAAACCCTATCTCAAAAAAATCGTAAATGTGACTCTAAGTACATTAATATGTAATAAAACAGATGTATGTGAGTTTTACAAATTCAATTACTTATTGCACGGATTCCCAAAAATTTTGATGCCATGGCCCCCAAAACAGCATTAAAGGCACAGTTTGTAGGATTTTGTTAATTCTTTTAGCCGAAATTGAGATAA